TTGTCAGGCCACATTTTTAAAAATAGTAAATGCAGATATCGTTTAATATCATTTAGGTTAGGCTCTTGAAGAATATATTTTAATGAATTCAAATTATTCATTAATAATTTGTTTGCCTTTTGGTACATATGTACAGCCGTACAGGTATAGGTATCTACATTTAATCAATGCAATTTATTCCAAATAAAATGAATACATTATATTTATTTACTTATTATAATAAATAATTTAATAATAATACAATATTCCATACAGTTACAGACGTACAGTATTCATAAGTTTTTTAAATTAATTATACTATTCTAGCTTATACCTTCTACTTTTTAGTTTCGAAAATCTATCTACTGCCTCATCTAAATCTATTTTGTTAGCATCTTCTTTTTCTACCGCTATGACCAATTAGTCACTCAAACGCTCGTCACCCATTGAAGATCTTAGATAAGATTTTACTCTTTTGAGTGAAGAAAAAAACCTTTCATTTGATGCAGTACTCACTGGAAGAGTGTTTATAATTTGAAGTATCTTCAATGTTTCTGAAAATGCTGCTGGTAGTTTTTTGAGTGTATCAATAATTAAATTTAAATCTGGTTGAACAATATTTTTTTGTTGAAGCAACGATTTTGCAGAAGTAAATTCAGATGGAATTTTTAATACATTAATTTTAAAATATTTGTAATGATTTAAAAAATTTTGTAAATGTAAACATTCTTCATTGAAATAGTTGTTATTCTTATAATCAAATATCTGGAATATGTTAAATAAATCTTGGTTTTTTTTCAGAAAAACGCAAGTCTATCTGTGTCAGAAACCTGGTAAATAAATATAAAAGATTATAAATCTCTAGTAAATATAAATAATATTATGGAATATCTGAGAGTTTGCAATACAAATCTATCTAAACAATAATTATAAGATTTTCTGAGTGTAGTTTAAATTTTTAAACAAAAGTACATGTATTATAAGAACAATACCTCAGCAAGTAAATTCTAATGTGATTTTAATTTTTAACAATTTATTTATTTAGCTAATAACATATTGATTCTAATTTTTAAATGAATTGTCTATGACACTTTAATAAATATTGATGAGTGAAAGTACTATTATGTAGGTACAATATTATATTTTGAAATATCAAGATAGATTTCTATAGTAGTATTATATTAAATAAATATTTATTTACCTGTCAATAATAGCATAGAAAACTTCGCTTTTTACATTTTGTGTAATATTTGTGTTTTGAGCTTTTCCTAATGTAGAATCGACCAAGTAGTCATCCAAATTTTTATTGAATGTACAATTTCTTTTTAATCTTATTTTTCTTACTTCGTCATCAGCTAATCCATTTTTCTTAGCAAATAATTTTGACTTATTATGAATTTGAAAGAATGTCTCTTCATTACGGAAACTCTGTAGATCTTTTTTAGTTGATTTGACCAAATGCATCAGGTAGAAAAATTGAAGTAGATTGTAATTCACATGACAAGCAGTGAACACACTTAAGAATTTTTTTCATAAAACTCAATATCATAATAAATTGAAAAGTAGAAATTTCCTCGAGTAATCCACATGCTCTAGCTGTTTGATCTCCTTGTAGAGTAAAAATAGTCAAAACTTCTTTAATTTCTGAGTATCTCTGTTTTATTTTTTGTAGTGAGCTATACCAATACGACCATCTGGTTTCTACTAATCTTTCCAAATGTAATACCTTGATTTTTTTATCATTTTGGATTTTAGTGAATAATTCATACCTGGTTTGGCTATTCATTAAATATGTATAAATACCTTGAACAGTATCAAACATGTTTACCACAGACCTTATGTCTTGAATTGAATTTAATAAACATAAGTTAAGACGATGTGCATAACAATGTATATATATAGAGTGTGGAACAATGTCTGCTATTCTCTTTTGTACACCTGTAAAAGATCCACTCATCACTGATGCACCATCGTAGCACTGGGCTACACATCTGCTAATGTCCAACTTATTTTCCGCAACAAAAGTTAAAATAGCTTTACTTAGAGAGTCTGCATCACACCTTTTCATATGATAGCAGCCAAGAGCTTTTTCTTGAATATTATAGTTTTTATCAATAAATCTGATTAAAAAACTCAGTTGCTCTTTTATACTCGCATCATTTGTTTCATTTTTACGTAAATTACGTTAACATGTGAAAACTTCACTCTTCACTGTTCACTGTTCAATCTTAAATCGGTATCATTAATATCAATAAGCTTTCATTTCATTTTCGATCTATTTTAAGAATGTATTTTCCAGTAATCACTAATCCGTCAGTCGTCCGTCGACCGTATACCCCCACCAACAACCACCGGTGTGCGACGTGCGTACAGTGCCGTCAGTCCTTTGTGAACCATAATATACAGCCAGTTCCAATTGGCACCACTATAATATACANCGTAAAAATCATGAAAATGTGCAAAATATTTTGAGTTAGAAATTTATAAAAATGTTTCGTTTAATTACGAATTGCCAGGGGAAATGCTGGCAAATGCATAAACATTTAATTTTTATTATTTTAAAAATTTAAACCAAATTACTGGCTACTTTTGTCTGTATATAAAAAAAATTGTGATGTAAGTTTCCGTATAACTGTTAATTTAACTGAGTTAAAAATAACATTTAGATAACTATTAAATAAAAACTTTTTAAAATTTTTTATATCAACTCAAATTAACTCTAATAACTTAATTTATTAAGTAACGAGTTACTTTTAAGTTTTAATCAAATCATCAAATCAAAGTTGCGTCGTTTGTTTATAAAAAATTTAATAATAAATATAACAAAAATTAAACTATGATAAAAATGACGTCTTCCGTGCGCACGCGACAAGCCTATGCTAAACACTTAGATTATACCATATATGATCTAAGGCTAAATATTATAACCTTATATTGTATTTTAAATATAAATTATAACATTTCTTTGTACTGACCATAGAGTACTCTATGGTACTAACCAATTTTTAATAATAATATTGTGTTTTAAATTCTTGAAATAATATACAATCATCTTATATGAAAATATTTGTTCTTTTAGGGTTTTTAATACTTTTTATAGGTATACCTAAGTTGGCCGATTTTTTTTATTTTACCGGTAGAAATTGTTTACCCAGTCCGGCTCTGCCTTTCACCGAGAGCGCTAGGTGTACTCCTTAGTTCTTTCTTTGGTGAACAGCTGATTTTTGATGATAAACTGTGAGCATCACCTCGGAGACCAATATTTTTCTATGCGGCGTTGAATAATCACTAACTCTGCATACACAAATATAGATAGTAGTTATCTTAATAATACATAACACAATATTCAAGTTCACATCCATAATTTATGATTGTTGACTGTTGACTGTTGTCGTTCTCGTTGTTTAAAATTAACGAATACCTGCGTTGAAAACCGTAAAACTTGAATCGACGATTAGCAGGTATTAAGTACATAATAATATTCATCATTTACTACGAGATTCTTGCATTCCTCTCCACCAATACGGGCTGACGAGAGCGTTTTCGATTTCTTTTGCATCCGCTGCAATAAAATTATATTATGAAACCCTAATCTTCCGTCTGCTGTGTTGAATATAACTACTGTCAAACAAGACGGGCATAGAAATAAAAATGGCTTCGCCGGAATCAAAACGAATAAGGTAACATTTCTTACAATTATGTCCGAGGTTGTGTCTCAGTTATGTTTTTTTTAAACTCAAGGTATTCACCATACAGTTTAATAAAACAAATATTAACTTTTTAAACGCCTAGGTCATGGCACAATATCTTGAATTGTATGTTGATCAAATATAAAAAGTTATACTCAGGAAACCGATTGATTCAACTGAATGAAGTATTTCCTCTTAAAATTAATATCTATCACTGCTATAAAAATCCTAAAGAATGTACTTTTTGTCATTTATAGAATGACATTAATACTTAGTTTTATGCCCATGATATAAACTGTGTTAGGTACTTAAGAAGTTAGGCAGTTGAAATATTTTAGTGATGTTTTTTTTAGAGAATTTTGATGCATCCAAATAAAATTCAAGAGGGTAGTTTTTGAATTATAAAACGTTGTGTACTAGCGATAATATGTTTATAGTAATGGGTTAAGTAGATATGGAGTCTTGGACGATTTGAAAAAGCTAGTAATTACTATTGATCTATCAATATATATAATTTCTAAAAATGGTCCTAGTATAATAAATACCACATCTAGTACTTACAGGCCCGGATACAGAGCAAATATCTGTGGAGGGCCCACATTTTTGTGTTATTGTAAAATTACAATATTGGTCATTGAAATCACTGTCCACCATGAACCGAGATAGTACTATCTTAGTTTGTGCACTCCTGAATAAAACTTATAATAATATATTATATTATCAGACGTACATGTAATTTTAAATCTAGTAATATCAGGATCTGTAGAATTATTAAAACAATTTGGGAAATAATATGTCTGCAGGGGAGCCCCTAGCCCCCCCCCCCCTGGATCCGTCTCTGAGTACTTATTACATAGGTTTATATTTTTATAAATCCATTTTTAAGGATTATTATCCTAAGTATATACATTTTAATAACTCAGATAATACTCATTAGAATATTTAGATTTAGTTTCATCAGGATTTTTAAGAACATCTACCGTTCAATAATTTGCACTAAAAAAGGGGTTCTCACTTAAAAATAGAAATTTGTATCACTACAGGATATTCCTTCAGTAATACAAAATAATATTAGCAATTGGAAAATGTGGTTTTTAGATATACTCTTAAAGCTAGAATTATGTCCCTACTGTTTAAGTTAAAAATCGGTGGTGAGCTTGCTTAATAAATCACCTTGTATGGTTATACCTATATTTATTATCTTGTTATGATAGGTACTAAACTACTAAATAATTATAGAATTTTTGATGTAAAGACAAAATATAAATAATAATTTTATACAACCATTTATTCATTTCACGTTTACCTACCAAGTTTATCTTATAGAAATTGTTAATACCAAGTCTGGGCATGTTACATTTTTTTTTAAACTCCTTAAGTTAAGTTAATATAGACAAATGTAAGTTGTCAATTGTGATAGAATAAGGTGGGGTACATCTTGTCATGTGGCAGCCTGTACTAACACTGTAAACTCCAGCCTCCAGGTACCAGGGGGTAGGGACCTACACATTATACTAACAATCGCTACAGAATGTAGTCCCCCGGTTCCCAGAGCGTATGGAAACCTAATTTTGACAAATTGTTGTATGTTGCTTGTATTAATTTCAAAATATTAATTAATAAGCATGGAGGCGCTGTCAACATAATGCTTAAGCAGTGTACGCTGTCTTCACAATAGAATTTCAACTTGGTTTTCTGGTTATTACGATTTATGGTACAGATATATAGGGTGGCTTATTTAAAAATAAAAACTAACCAGCTCTCCACAGTGTTGGCTTATTCATTTATTTTATTTCCTTTTCAGATAGATAGTAAATACGACGAAATTAGGCTACTACGGCCTTGCATTATTTATACCGACAGGCGACCGTAATTCCATTAATGAATATAAATATAATAATGACTAATAAGTAATAATTAGTGCTCGGAAGTTGTAGGAGCTAAAAAGGTAAAATATGCATGCAAATATACACGAAAAAATTGCAAAATATGCATTAATAATGTTAAATATGCAAAAATATTATTCTGAATTCCAAAAATTAAATACATCAGATGTTGTTTACAAATTAATCATATACATAAAAATTATTTATAACTAAAAAAAAAGTATAACTGGTTGGCATTTTGACATCTCATTGAGCTGAAAATAAAATTAATAATATTTTTTCAGTATTTTTAAAATTACGAAAAAAATACATGTTTTCTAATACCTGTTAAGTTATTGTATTGAACCACCAATATTTTCTTAAGATTTTCTATTTCAAATGAACGACGATTATTCAATAGAAGATTTTTATATCGAGAAAACGATCTTTCAACGTCAGTTGAAGTCATCGGAGCATATTTATAAAATTGACTATGGCGATGTCAATATATACCATCGTTGGTCATTTTGAGTTTTATATTCAATATTAGTTGAAAATTTGAAATATACAGGTTAAGAAACAAAAAAAATCAATTTTTTTAGAAAAATATGAAATATGCATAATATGTTTATAAAATCAATGAAATATATGCACTTTTTAGCTTAAATTGGCAAAATATGCATTTTCAATTTTCAAAGTCGCAATTGTATACTTTAAATTTCTAGCTAGGTCTGCTATAAATTGAGATCATACAGAACAATATGCAATTCCTACAACTTCCGAGCCCTAGTAATAATATTAATGTTACTAATAATGTTAAGTTAATGACTAATGAGTATACAAACTTGTGTGGGAAATTGAAAGTTATTAATAAAAGTAATAATAATTATTATTATTATTATAATTATATAACTATATAGTTATATTTTTCTTTTATTAATAACGCGGTTACTCATAAAACATTTCTGTTTATAATTTAGATTTTTTTTCTATTAATTATCCCGCTGCAACATAGACCATTGGGTGTTATTAGCTATTTTTAAGGGACGCATGTAAATTCCTCCCAAAATGAACTACAGGTAAAATAAGGTACATGTAAATTCCGCCCGAAAAAAATACAGGTAATGAAACATACATGTAAATTCCGCCCGAAAAAATGTATGACTGTTAATAAACAAATTTCTGAATGTGTCTTATTAATCATATTATTACTGACATAACATAGATTAAGCATTATAATTTAGAAGTGGGTATTTAAATAAATATATATTTCACATATTAAGTCAATAATTACAATGTAAATCATGTATAATCGTAAAAATAATAATAATTATAAAAGTAAATATAACAATCATAATATTATAGTAAAATTAAATCATGATCAATAATTAGCACAATATATATAAAAGTATTAAAAATAGTAAAATAGTAAAAATTATAATAATAAATACGAGTCAAAATAAAATCATCAATAATAAGCACATATTTTTATAAGTCGTATATATTATATAGCATATAAAATTGTTAAAATATTAATAATTATAATAGTAAATACGAGTTAAAATATCACTTCAATACTATTTATTTTTTGTTCATGTTCGAACATTTTGTGACTTCCCAATACTATAAGTTATAGCACGCGCCGCGCGCCGCGTCGCGAAAAGTACGGTCGCGTCGTACAGTCACGGAACGCTTAGTTTAAAAATATTTATTTTTCCGGTCGGAACTATTTTTGTACCTGTATATTTTTTCGGGCGGAATTTACATGTACCTTTTTTACTTAGATATTTTTCCGGGTGGAATTTACCATAGACCTTGTTTTTACCTGTTCATTTCGGGCGGAATTTACAATCTCCCATTTTAAGGAGTTACAATAGGGTTGGTATGGTTGTTAGAAACTCGTATGTGTTATTATTATACAATGTTTTTGCCACTAAGAACCTGGGTGAACACCCATCCGAAACTAGTTACAGTGCACGGTTGCGTACTCTCAATCAGTCAATCACGTTGCGTACCTTATTACGGCAACTGCGCCACGCCAAGCCAGATACAATATGTCTAAATAATATTATATTCTGCGAATATGCAACAAAATAAATTAATATCTATTATTATGAATTATTATTTATTAATCAATATATTCAATATTTTGGATTATTATTTATTCATTAATATATTTAATATTTCTGATTATTATAATTTTTTTTTATAAAATTAATTTTTACAAAATTTAAAATATTTTTAATCTGTGGTTTAAGAATATGATTAACTTTACGTGACCATGAAATAAATTAACTTAATATAAGTCTCTGAAAATTTTTTACTTGTTGAGTTAGAAGTTAACTCGTAAAAAACTTAGTTAAAAAACTATTTAACTTTTTAACTTGTTAATGTGCAACCTTGCTTTGAATACTTAAATCAATGGTTAAATCCACAAAATAATTAAATTATTTTTATGTATTTGTTGACCTAATGGTCCACAATTATACTAAATTATAATAACCAAGTTCATTATTAGAATATAATTAATTACCCACATATAGTATCAAATATTATCTAATTCAGTTGTAATGCTATAATGAATATTTATTATTTAATAATAACTAAAAATTAATAAGTAATAATTAATTAATAGCGATTAATGAGTACATATGTGCATGGGATACTGAGTAAATAAAAATATTTTTTTTCTCAGTGATGCGATTACCTCTGTACCTTTCAGGTTAAATAACAAAATATTATGTACATAACTACTCTGTAAAAATGCAATGTAAACTTACAAGGTTAGGTTAGTTTATTTCTTATTAGTTATTATATTTATAAATAATATTTGATATTTCTTATTATTATTATTTTTTTTTACAATATAGAATACATTTTAAATTAGTGGTTTGAAGAAAACAATTAACTTAACTTGACAATAATATCAGTTAACTCATAAAATATTTCATACCATAGGAAAAAAATGTAACTTGGTTAAAAGTAACTTACATTAAACTTTTTAACTCATTAATACCTAACCTTTGTCAATCAGAAACTTGATTATTTTGATTTTTACCTACTTATAATATAATTATGATGTCTCTAGACTCTCTTCTCAAGATGTAGAAAATATAGCAAATGACAATGAAGTACAAACTAATATAGTTCTTAAAATACCAAATGGTTTATGTTACAAGAAATTTGATGAAATGCGAAGGTAATTTCTTAAAGTTTATTATAAAATATATTCATAGGTGTTGTTTTGATTTTACTAATTCTATTCTTCGTTGTAGTAATAAACAATTATGTGATATAAAAATTATTGCCAAAAATGGTGCAGAAATATGGGCTCATAAAGTTGTTCTGGCAGCCAATAGTGAATATTTTAATATTATGTTTAATAGTAAATTTAAAGAGTCTAAAGAATTAGAAATCCAGATTCAAGAATTAGATCCAAATGTATTGAGTTTGTTAATAGACTTTATTTATTCATCGGAGTTAGTTGTAAATGAACAAAATGTCCAAGTAAATTAATATTTAACTTAAAATTTATAAATATAATCTAATACATTTTTATTTTTAAATTTCTTGTAGGAAATTTTAAATGGAATCTGTTTGTTGCAATTGGATGAATCAATCTGCTGTGAATGCATTGATTACATTAAATCAAGAATTGATCCTGCAAATTGTTTAGGTATGAAAGAAATGGCTGAATGTCTTGGATTAAGTGATTTTTATACATTCTGTTTGAATTACACTTTAGTTAACTTTAAGTAAGTATACTACATTTTCATGTTTTTTTATCAAGTCTAAATTTATTTCTTTATCAACTCTCAAAAAATAATTAAATAATTAAAAACTGGAGTAAACAAAATGTTAATTTAAGTATCAGTAGAATGTTTCAAAGTCCTAAAATGAATAATGATTGAATTACAGTAAAAATTTAAAACCATTTTTGATGAGAAATATTTATGTTTGTAACATACATTACAAGTTTCAAATGCCCACTAACAATATGGTTTTAATTACAACAAAAACTGAAATTGTTATTCTTTGTTTAAATATTTTTTTTTCCTGATGTTTTTGTGAACTATTGGGAATTTTCTATTTCAACCTCTAAAATTTACCAACTATAGATTCCTACCAGAAAAAATAATGAAGCTGGAAAACAAAGTATTATTTTGACTGCTTATCTTGTATACATACAAAAAACACAATATAATTTTTTTCGTTGTAGTGAAAAGTGACAATTTTTTCGCTGTTTATTTTTTACTTTGGACCTTCTAATTTCGACCCAATTACCTCCATATTGATTTGTATTTTATTTAGTTTTAACTTTAATTTTTAATTGACAAATACTGTCTCATTTTTAAAAATGTTAAAAAATATTTTATTATGAATTTATAGCATTAATCTTTAAACTTTATATTATACAATCATTTTACAGACAAGTATACAAAAATGAAGAATTTTTGCTGATTACTTTTGATAAAATATTACAATTGATTAAAAGTGAAGATCTGTGTGTAAATGATGAAAAGGCAAGTATATTATGCAGTGGCGTATCCATAATTTTTTTTTTGTTTTTTTTTGGTAAGGGGGGGGGGGAGTTAAAAAAATTTAACAAATTAAATTGTTTTAAATTGTGTGTTTTTATTATATCAATAATCATACATTAAACATTTTTTTACTATTTTATAACCCGAATTATAAAAAAATGAAATATTTACATATTCTCTTTTTTGAAAACTATAAATGTATATTTAATTTTCGTTTTGATTTTTTAGCAAGTCCATCTATAAAATCATTAATATCCACATTAATATCGCAATGGATGTTTAGTAAGGCTTAACCATTTAAACGTATTGGTCCAAAAGAATTTCTGAAATAAGTTTTCAAACAACAGAGGTTAGAAAATAATCGTACTCCCCTGGCAGTAGACACTGGAAGTGTTATGAATAATTGAAGAAGTTTAGATATAATTGGATGAAGTCTGGACAGATTTGGAAGTATACTTCAATAGCATTTTGTTCTTGAATTCAGAAGATGTTAAAGTTGAATATTTAGTGGACCACAATTCTAATTCTTATTTAATATATGATCTTTTCAATTTGAATCGAAACATTCATCAATTATTTCTTTATATGTTTCTACTAATTGATTTAAATTACCTTTAATCTCTTCAGATATTTTCATTTCTATCTTAGGTAAAAAACATCAAAATTATTCAAAACAATCCTGTGAGGGATAAATCGTACAATTGGTCTAGAAAATAATCTATAAAAGGTATGAATACTGGGACTCAAAAAAATATTTTGGGTTATCTGATTTACCTTGACGTAACTAACAGTAATATCAAATTTTTCACATAATGTTATCACAGATAAAAACAATTATTGAAATTCTACATCACAACTTTCTCTAATATCCTGAATATTATTTTGAGCATCAGATGTAGCTTCTAGTATAGATTTTAAATCAAGTTTTTTTGTTTTGAAATATTGGTGAAGAGGGAAACATATGGAAAGAATTTTCACTAAAATAGATAAAGCTGTTTGAAACTTTAACTGTTTTATTGCAGTAAGAAAAAGACTTGCAGAACTAGAAGTGTTAGAATCTGTGAAAAAGGTAATTTTATCCAGTGCATTTTATATGGCTTGTTGAAGTTCTTCAAATAATATGGCTGCATCATGGCAATCGACCTATCAAGTTGCACATAGACTTTTTAGTTTAAAACGATTATTTTGTGGAAATACTTATTCTATTGACAATTGCAAGATACTTAGCTTTTTTGTATAACCAAAAAACTTACACTTTGTATAGTACCCATACAATTTCTTACCTCTGGTACTTTACAGCTAAAAGTTATAGCCACATTTATATTTCATATAATACAATAGATTATCTGTATTCTGTATCATACTATCATGTAATTCGGTTTAGGGGGGGGGGGAGCAATGTTATGCTTATTACTAGTCAATTAGGATACTAAACAATATTTTGAAAGTTATAGGAATCTAAAAATTATAATATTTTAATTATGGTGATTGCTGGGTTTCGCTTGCTGTTGTAGGTCGATCATTAATAAAATAAAACAATGAAAAAATAGTTACAACTCCCCTCCCCCACTGGATACACCACTGATATTATGTCAATATTGTATAATTTTTTTTCTTTGTTTTACTTTTTTAAATATATTGTGTGATTGTAGTGAACATATATCCAATTTTATATTATAGATAACTATGAATAATGTTCAAATTATTAATAGGTGTATAAATCTGTAATGAAATGGATCAAGTATGACAGAGAAAGTCGTTGTAAACATTTACCAGATTTAATGAAATATGTACGGTTACCAATTGTTTCCTCGACATTTTTTGAGTGTACTGTTGATAAAGAACCACTTTTGAAATTTAATAACAATTGTAACTATATAATATTTGTATGTTTGATTTCTCTATTTCTTAAAATATGAATGTTGGTAGGTAGAACATATTTAAATGAAGCTTATGCTGTTCATTCTGTCCTTGGTACTGAGTTTGAAGCACCAAATTCTATCCGTACTCAATATCGCTCAAATTATTCAGAAGTAAAATTTTAGTTTGTATTATTATTTTTTAGATAATTATTTACTACATATTGTAAATTGTATATACTACTTGTATATACACGTATAATACGGTAGAGTATTATACAATAGTACCTAATATTTGTATATTTTAATATTTTATAAATTAATAAGATAATGTACCGTAGTCTTAAGAAATAACAATAGATTAATTTTACTTGTTACAGTATGTTTTGCTTATGAGCAAACGTGGAAAACCCCATCTTCCTCTTTTGTATAACATAGTCACAAATCAGTGGAGAACTTTACCAACAATTATACCACTAGATTCATTAGGTTTAACTATTTTGCTTGATGATGGTCGCTTCTTTAATCTTGGTGGTGTTGATTGTGATTTAATTCAAGATTTTAATAATTATGAAAATTATCATTATGATATGCTATTCCTTAAATCTGGTTATATTTCTGATGCAAACTCAAGAAGATGGAAACCAATTCAACAAATGCATAAAAGCCGATCTAAATTAAAAATTGCTCAGATTGATAGTCGTATTTATGTGGTACAATAAATTACAAATTGATAATTATTACCATTCATAATTATCTACTTATTTATTTGGTTAATATTATTTGCAGGTAGATTCTTATCACAGTGAATACTATAATATTGAATGTAATAAATGGTTTAAAATATCTTCTTTAAATATATTTCGAACTAATTATAGAGTTGTCGCTCTCAATGGATTTTTATATGCTGTAAGTCTATGATTATTATATATATTGTATGTGTGTAAGCGTGTCACATTAATTTAAGTAACTTGCATATTTTGTGAAACAAAACTCAATAGTTTACACAATGCCAATAATCATTCATGAATAGAAATGTATAATCTAACAATACATAATTTATTTTATAATCTGTAAATACACTTAATGAAACAACAATCTATCCAAATTATATAAAAAGTAATTCCACTTGAGACTCTGTATTTATACAAAAATAGATTAAATTATATATGTTTATTCTTAAATTTTTCATCATCTTGCATTAAATTTAAATTTGTACATTTTTAGGTTGGAGGACATGTTAAAAATTACGAAGTTAAGTTTGTAGAACAGTATGACCCAAAAATTAATATTTGGAAAAGTGTAGCACCAATGTTACATGGTAGAAGTGCCCCAACACTTTGTGCACTGAATGGTTGTATGTATGCTATAGGAGGAAAACAATTTTTTGGTCATTATTTGACTCTAGTGGAAAAATACGATCCTTCAACTGACTCTTGGGTTGAAGTGGCCAAGTTAAACTATAACAGGTCCAATGCAGGTTAGTAGATATATTGTTGAAATCAACTTAAGTTTAAAGCTGTTATAGCTGTGTAAACTATGCAATAGGTGCTGTGGCTGTGAATGGACTAATTTATGTGTTTGGAGGTATTCGTAGCAATTTCACAATCGAAGTTTATTGTCCGTACAAAAACACATGGACAGTGTTGTCGTCAAAACTACCAAAATCTCTCGATATAAATGGTTCCTGCATTGCATTCAACGTCAAACGAAACGTTGAAAGTGAAATATTTAAGTTAGCTGATTTGTAAATAAATCGATTAATATTAAACTATTATTTTTAAGTTTTACTATTAAATTTTACCATTGATTGTAAAAACACTGATTAAGTGCTTTCAATTATATGATTTGTTGTTGTCACAAATAAAAAATTATTATATTTTATTTGTAAATACCTGTAGGTCCCTTCAGAGCCATAAAAACCAAGAGGTTATTAAAATAAATAATGAAAAATTATAACCAGATTAATTGATTCAAAATAGGTACACATATTAACAGGTTTATACTAGTAATTAATTATTGAGTTAAAAAGCGGGTTGCATGGTTTACAATGTTCATAAGCTGGATTGGGGAATTGTCAAAGCAGTTTGCCGGAAAATTTGGAGTACCTATGGTATAACAGGGCGGAGTAGGGCGTTATTCTAATGAAATTTTATTTAGATGTTCAATCAAATAATATTTTATTCGTAGGGTTTTTTCACAACAATTGGAGTCGGTTTTACGAATGAGAGGTTGGAAACAAATCTCAATTGAACATTTTGAATGCAAAGAACCACAAGACTATAGGGTTTGAGCCGTTTGAGGAAATCTTAAGCAGGGATGTAGTCATGTAATAACAAGGGATATCTAATCTATACGGAATTGTCTTTGAATTTAGGAGAAAAGCAAGATCTCTCAGATCTTTTATTTATCCAAGGAAAGGACGTACAAATACTTAACAAGTGTGCAATATAGTCTTGGAGATGCTAAAAGTTTGAATTCGCGAGATGTGCGAAGTATGAAGCATAATCGTATAAATGCCTTACATTGTAAGGCTTACAACATGTCACCTCAATGTGAGTTTGGGCTTGAGAGTAAATCCAAGATCACGTTTAAAGTCTTCGGATTTCGTAATGGCAGTGCTATTAATTTGGTAGGTGGAAATTAGGCGAAATTCAATGTACCTAATCATGTAGAGCATTTACATATTTTCAGAAGAGCCCAAAACAATTTTCTGAAAATGTACAACATAATTTCAAAATGAAATAAATTATTTATTTAAATGAGTGCACAATTATATTTAGCATAGGTAATAACAATATATGGATGTATAACTTAAAAGAGAAAATTATCATAGGTAGGTACCTAATTTATATTAATATATTATTTTATTTTTAAAATTATTTATTTTAGTATCTAGTTACTAGTTAGATAGCCGATAGGTATGCATATTATATTTTTATAATTACTGGTTATATGTAATAAAAAAGTTGTTTTATTTGTAATGCAAAAATGTAGAAAATGCAAAAATAATTAATATCCAAATAATGTACAAACAAGCTTCAGCTTATCTAAATAAACCAAACGATGTCAAAGTTAAATGAATAAGTCATTAGGTGTTAACTGACCTTACGTGTAGATCTAATCCAATGTGATAATATGAATATCTATTATTCTGATCTCCGTATCTCACGTGTAGTTCTTGAGTTTCACCATAATACTTACTTCATTACGAAAACCAAATACATTTTTTTGACAAGATTGCCTTTATAGTTGATCCTCAGACTTCAGAAATGATAATTTAAGTATCCTGCCATCCTAGCACCCGCACGGTACCTACCTTAATCGGCTTAATCTCGTCTACATTTTTATATGTTAATCAAGAGCATAGTTTGTAATAAATGTATTTATAATTTATATTGTAAGTCAATAGTTAACATTTCACATCAATGAATTGTCTTCGTTCTCTCTACTTTACATTAGTACGATCAATTCTTGAATATGGTGTCGTGGCATAGCACCCATACCTTGCAAATCACCAGCATAAGCCAGATCAGGTGCAAAATCGCCTCCTAACTTACTTAACAATCGTGAATAAATATAAAGCTGACTTGTCTCCTCCCGACTACGTCCAACTACTTAATATTTTTAACATTTCATCTCTCCCTTCTCGCCGCGCCGATATAGATGAACACTTTTTGACTTCCCTTCTAAATGGTTCCTTAGACGCTCCCAATTTCATTTCTGAAATTCGATTCAAAGTACCTACCTTTTTCTTCTTTTTTTAATAATTCGATAATAATTACTATACATACTATAATTAAAGCTGTAGTCATATTATAATATATTTTTATTTTCTAATATATATCTGTGGTTAGAACTTAATATGATCAATCATTTATTTATTATATTAAGATTTATACACTAATATTGACACTAATATAGACAATTTTAAATTAAAAATACCTACATAGTTAATTTAATCGGCTTGACGCTCCACGCTCGAATATATGTGCAACTAGTCAGTGTGCCGTGCGTAGTATGTATGTGCATGACATATGTGTGTGTGTGTGTGTGTGTGTGTGAAGGAGAGTTGCTAGAGTGTACCTAATGACTAAAACCCACTTTATTATTTCTTAGTTTAATTCTAGTGCCTTCTTTCTATCTCTAGACCTAGCCTAATCAAGTTCCACATATATATTATGTTATGGTCAACTTGTATTAATAATTATTTTTATTTTTCAGAGGGGGTTTGAACTCTAGACTCTCCCCTAGACACTCCCTAGACGCCCTTGCAATATACTATGAACAAAAATAACAATAAGATTATTGAATATTAAATAAAATAATTAATTATTATAAGAGCCGTCAATGAAGATAATATTCTGGGTTAATTATTATTGAAAATATATATTATGAGTAAGGAGAGATATCGACTTTAGAGTTAGGTACATGCATTTACGAGACGTACACGGAAATTAAAGAGGAAATTAATGGACTAGTAATTAAATGTATTATTTTATTTTATTTTTTACATAGTATTTATTGTACAATATTAATAAAGTGATTTTTTTTACAATAAGCACAAGAGGTGATGTTTAAGATTTCTAAGAAATATTGGAAACAAAATATAAAATTGATTAAATTAAGTAATCCAGTCATCCATTGATGGAACTTATTTACATGTAAAGGTGTGGGTTAGTCAATTGGAAGATCACGACACCATGTTCGGTTTAGTTGCTTTCTGGGATCACCATGAATAGTGGGAACAAATAGTTCTGAGATCAGGAGGTTGCGGTGGTTGAGGATGTTTTAATGCATGAGATCGTAGAAGGTCTTGGCGGTGTTTTTAACTGTTGGGATAGATAGTTCTTTATGGACACTGTCACACTGATTAAAACATTTAAATTAAAAAAAAAAATTGTGATAAAATATAAGACTATTAGAGCAAATGGTTTCTGAGGGAGAATTTAAGGTTTTGATACAAATACACTTTATTTGCTTAGCTTAAACTTTTGAGTACATCTACAAGGCTGATTATAGTGATCAATTTATGAACACAAGAAAAAAAATACACATACAATTTGTTGTTGCTAAATGAATGTTGAATCGTTTGTGTATCATCATGTGATTCGTACGATATAATATTTTATAACGTACACGATTACCGGATTACATATTACAGTTTATAATAATATCACTCGGAACAGTCGAATCCTTTAAAACCTTTCACGCAATACTCATTCTCCTCGGCCTCGGGTCACATGTGCGTGTGCGCGCATTTATGTACTGTGTACCTACATAATATTATACGTATAGTATGAGGAATTCCCATTAGTGAGACGCATATGCCCGTCTCCGCAAGGTCGCGGTATAGCATTATGTACCCGAGGGCGTCTATATTTTGATGACTGTCGCAGCCCGTGGGTCCTGAAAAAAAAAAAAAAAATAAGCTAATCAGTATTTTTTACATAATTAATTTACACTATAATATATGATACACTCGACGGTCACACGCGGCACGCGGTGTAAGGCACACGGAGTACAAGAACTGTAATAATATCTTGTGTATACAAAACGAAAATACGAAAAAAAAAAGTAATTACACAATATCGTGAGCGAATATTCTCATAAAATATTATTAATGTCAAGATATACTTAGTTTATTTTTAAATATATGCGTTGTAGGTTTATATATATAGTTTACATCAACGTTTTTGCAGACCAGAATCGAGTTATTATAGTATATTATACCTATACACATAATATATTCATATGTATCATATATCTACATTACCTATTGTATACCATAATATGTGTATTGTGTACAATATCTGTGAATGTCTTATCTCAATCGAAGTCTTTTCAAAACTCCTTATTTTATTTTACAGGTCAAGTGCAATCGAGTAATCGACTATTGATGAGTGGACGATCGGAGCCGATAAGTAAACTCCCAAATTTCAAATTTGACAGGTATCAAAAAATATTTGGTAGGTAGTGCAAAAATATTGGAGACTGCGAGAAATGAGAGTATTAAAATATCATATTTACTGTAAGTCATAAATAATATAGGATATAATATATATGACTATTCTATGAGTAGATACCATTGATTATAATATAATAGTATATTTATTATATACTTTATTTATAATTATTATAAATAGTTATTATATTATAATTTATAATATATTAATATACTTATGGGCTATAGCGTTAAGAGTATTGTTGACATTTAATTTTCTGGCTGACTATAAATGTATCGGCAGCGGTCGTGTCCATATAGAAAATATTGTTGTAATCGTAATGTTGCAATAAATCATACTATATAGATAATAATTCGGTAACAACACGATTTGTCGATTTATCGTACTTCATCGCTAATATTTTATTTATTATTGTATAATATAGGTTCGATAGAAACAAAACAACGAGTCACTATAGAAAAAGTGAGTTGTCCAGAAATTAAAACCAAATATTTAAAAACGAGAATTCCCGGTTTGGTGTTATTTAAAAAAATTGTATTCATAATAATGATCTTTGAATCCACCTAATATACAATACATATAGTACATTTGTACCTATATCAGGTCATGTATATTGTATATAATACATCAAAATATTTCATTATTTGCAATAATCGTCAATCGAACATTCGAACCTGTACAGTGTATATCTATTGGAGTCTTGTACACTTGTGTAGGTACTAGTCGTACTACAAGTGGCTTAAATGTAAAACAAAGAACATACTATAGGTACTTAAAAAGAAGAGTAAAATTGATTAAAAACCTTCACATAATAATTATAAAATATTATTTTTATTTTAGCAACTTGTCATTGGAAAATGGAAACTATGTATGCACTATATATCATTATGATACAAAATAATAGTATAAATAGGTACA